TAGAAATATCGGACAAAAAATGACACTTAGAAATAAATTTTTTTAACAAAGCCCCTTGAATACAAGACTAGCATTCCGGTAAAAACAAAAATTACGAGTTGAATGTTTAACGAGAAGGACTCTCATAGCCTATTTGGTGTCAGCCATGCAGACTTGCTTGTTCACAAAAAGTCTATGTCTTGTCTTTTCTTTTGGTTAAATACTGCTGCTTTCTACTTCACGAACTGAAAACAACGTTCGATACAGCCAAACTACATTGTAGGTTAGAAAAACATTATGGAAAATCAATCATCCATACCGAAAAAGAAACGGTCGGAAGAATCAAAGGTAGGGTTCAGTAGGTCAATCTAAATGTACGAAGCCATTCAAGCAGCTAGCCATTTAAAATCTGGATAAATGATGTCAGAAATTGAAACTGATATTGAGACAATAACTATGAATGAAGACCAAACATTACATGCAGCCACTTTAACAGTTCCTAGTTAAATGCAGTCCTTAGATATATCAGATATCAAAATGGGACTTACCTACCACCATCTGAAATATCATATTCCCCACAACACACTCCTTGCTTACCTACGAAGTTTTTGTTGTGGATAATTGATTCTTAAACTTACAATGCTTCTAAACCTTCTGACAACAAATTAATCCCATTTCATCTTGAGTTGGTATTACAACTTCACAACTACACCATGGGTTTGGATAAACAAAATATGATCGACAATCAGAATTTCCATTGCTTTTGTGAATCAAACTCGGAAGTATGAAGATATCACACTAGCTTAGAATATTTGGAAATAGGCAGAATCCAAAGATATCATATAAAGAAACAAGGTATGATGCAAACAACAACAAAAATGGTCTATGGCAGACGTTTTATACTCCCACTTTAATAGAATATGAGGATTTCATGGGCTTTCATCTTTTATATAGCAACAGTTGGTAAGTTATAAACTTCAGCTGGGCTATATGACTTATGTTTTGACTCTGGAATTTATTCTCGAATACAGTAAACAGATTGTGGTGTTACAGAATTAACACTGCCGTATGAGGCTCTCGTGGTTCCTTTAATTAAAGCATTATTCAATAGATTCAGAGACATAAACTGTATAAAAAGTATTGCACCAAACGTGTGGAAGGCGTTCCTTGACTGTCATAGCTCATTTTTTGTCTCACCAAAAAACACGGAAGGCATTGAAGATCTCTTTATTGTTTTTAACGATAACATATTTGTTTGAAGAATTGAGAACACAAACCGGTTTTCTTCGAGGGACTTTTTTCATCAGACATCCTTCAATGCATTATTTTAACATGCCAGGGTAAAGAGCTTGAAATAAAAGTTGAGTATATATATGCTACACACAGAATTTAACTTGTAAAAGTATTTCATTATGTAGAGGGTCTGCGGGATTTAGGAATCATCTTACTCAACAAGCGATTTCTGAAGAAGACGACGATGAAAACGATTAAAAAATTGTGCATTTTTATAGGCATGTAGGGTGGTACATTAAAATTGAAATTGTGTTGGCTTGGTCACTCCACTATTGATGGAGTAAGTATAAATAGTCTTAACAGCCTTCCAATCAAAATAAAAACACAACATACATGTGCTTTAAATGTCTCTTCCATTGTATCATGTGACTTTACACATTTAAATATTAAAATAACCTTAACTGACCGGTAAACAAAATTGAATTTCAGTTAAGTTTGTTGTCATGAGATTGTTTAAATGTCTCATCAAATAACAAAGTATTCTCCATTGTCCAATTTCTATTAGAACAGTACATTATAGGCAAATAAGATCAAAATGAATACAGTATTTTCATTTAGATTAATACCTTCATATGCTATCAAAATACAATAATTTTATTTTCAGCCATAAAGGTCTTAATCATTGTTATTTCAAAAATTTGTATTTTTCTTATTTTCCCCAAAATTATTTTTATGCTTTGCTGGTCAGCAGGTGTGCACTTTACAACGAAGGAAATGTTTATTCCGTATGTATTTCTTGATAAAAGATTTCAGGGCCTCTTTGTTTTGTTGTGAAAGCGACCATGCTAAAAGCATGAAAAGCTTGCTTATAGTCTTATAGAGTATAGAAATATTTATTAAATCAAATAAAGGCAAAAGATGTTTCTAAACATTCTTTCAAGGAAACAAAAACATAAAAAAATCTTGTAACAATAACTTTAATTCCGAAATCATCTTCGAATATATGTTTGTTAACTCATAAATTGATTTAAAATCAATAAAGAAAAAGATGAGCATTTTTATAGGTGTCCTTTAATATTTAAATATGCAAAGTCACATGGTACAATGAAACAGACATTTTAAGCACATGTATGTTGTTTTTGTTTTGATTGGAAGGCTGTTATTTATATATACTTACTGTTACTCCATCAAGTACTTCCTAAACTAATGAAATTAACACAGAGACCCTAACAGGTAACTTTTTAAATTATAGACCAAAAATTATGAAATTAATAGTCGGAGTTCATAATATGGACATACATCAAGAAAATAAAATAATGATTTGAAAAAGTGGATTTTTAAGAATTTTTTCCTGCAAATATATAGAAGTCAAACGGACAATGGTAAGGGATTATCCAATTGTTTAGGTCTACTTACAGTTCAAAACAAACAAAATCTATAAATGTGTTATAACTGCCACGAAGCACGTTTATCAGCTTGAAAGGACGAATGATTGAAACTGAATAAAAGATGAAAGTTGAATTTCGAAACAAACAAAAAAATCAAACAATAGTAGATATACGTATACAAAATTTTAAAGAACATTTTACACTTAACAACAACCATAAAAATCCTATTTCTCGTATCAAACATAAACTAAAAGAACTAGCCAAGGAATTTGTTTTTGTCCCGGCTGATAAAGCTGCTAATAATATCATTATAGTTTGAGGTAAATTTTACATTGAGGTTCTGCAAAAGGAAATCACGAATTCACCAAACATTCCAACTGACTTCATTTTCAGAAAACGATATCTGTAACAAACATAAACTATTAGCTACTTCTTTACAAGCAGAACCAAATACAATGAAAGTCCGAACTATGTACTGGCTTCCGAAGCTACACAAATCACCTTACAAATATAGATTTATTTCGTCTTCAAGTCATTGTTCCACTAATAAATTATCTATTCTACTTACTAGTACACTTGGTACAATAAAAAACCTGATAATAAATTGTTCAAATAAGGCCTTTGAAAATAGTGGAATTAATTACTTTTGGAGTGTCAAAAACTCATTGGAAGTACTTGATAAATTACATGCATATATTGGTGATTTTGAATCTGTTCAAAGTTTTGATTTTTCTACCCTATATACCACTTTGCCTCATATTCTTATTAAGAAACAATTCACACACCTAATTAAATGGGCATTTAAAAAGTCGGAATGCGAATACATATGTTCAAACTCTTTTAGGTCATTTTTTAGTAGCAACAAACAAAAGAACTATGTCAATTGGACATGCTTTGATACTATATCTGCCCTTGAATTTTTACTTGATAACATTTTTGTTCGCTTTGGAGATTCCGTATATCGTCAAGTTATCGGAATTCCAATGGGGACTAACTGTGCACCACTTATTGCGGACCTGTTTTTGTATTGTTATGAGTTACAATTTATGACTAAAATCAGCAAAGACCCATCGAAACAACATCTGATACAAAAATTTAACAATACTTTTAGATATTTGGATGATATATTGGCTCTCCATAATGACGACTTCAGTATGTATACTAAAGAAATTTATCCTGTTGAACTTACTTTAAATAAAGCTTATACTAAAAATGACCACTGTCCTTTCCTCAATCTTGATATCTATATCATTAACGGGAAGCTTAATACAAAAATTTATGATAAAAGAGATGATTTTTCATTTCCTATCGTTAATTATCCATTTTTAGATGGTGACGTTCCCTTGTCACCATCTTATGGTGTTTATATATCTCAACTTGTACGATTCGCTCGTGTATGTAACAACGTATTAGATTTTAGCGAGAGAAATTTATGTATTACTGAAAAATTATTACACTAGGGTTTTCGATATCATAAACTAGTCAAAACATTTACTAAATTTTATCATCGGTACAAGGACATCATTCGTAAATATAACTCAACATGCAGACATCTTATACATTCGGGTATTTCACATCCAATCTTTTATGGTAATATTCTTTACAAAGCACAAAAATGTCAGTATTCACCTCAAAAGCTAACAAAACCTTTAAACAGACTTATTAAGAAGGGATATAGTTACGATACTGTTGTCAGGTCATTAAAGATTGCATATTTTGGCTTTAATATTGATTCACTTATATGGTCTTTGCATCGGAATTAAACACATTTATTCTAAAACCAGTTGTTGGCATGACACGGGTTATGTTCTTCTCATATATTTTATGACGGTATAATACTAAACCCCTAACAGGAGGGATTGTGCCTGATATTCATATGATGAAGACATAATCTTTCAATCAGTTTAATTGAGGTCTGGAGCTGGCATGTCAGTAACTGCTAGTAGTCTGTTGTTATTCATGTATTATTGTCATTTTGTTTATTTTCTTTTGTTTCCTATTCTGACATCGGACTCGGACTTCTCTTATACTGAGTTTTACTGTGCGTACTGTTGTGCGTTTGTTTTTACTACATTGGCTAGAGGTATAGGGGGAGGGTTGAGATCTAAAAAAAACATGTTTAACCCCGCCGCATTTTTGCGCCTGTCCCAAGTCAGGAGCCTCTGGCCTTTGTTAGTCTTGTATCATTTTTAATTTCAGTTTCCTGTGTATAATTTGGAGTTTAGTATGACGACCATTATCACTGAACTAGTATACATATTTGTTTAGGGGCCAGCTGAAGGACGCCTCCGGGTGCGGGAGTTTCTCGCTGCATTGAAGACCCATTGTGGCCTTCGGCTGTTGTCTGCTCTATGGTCGGGTCGTTGTCTCGGATCCAACGCATCGGCACTTAAAGTTAACCAGCGAGAGACGTTAACCACCGAGGGTCGGTTTTTAGACACGCCCAGTGCAACTATGCACGCCTACTTTTGGAGCTCTTTAGTATGAAGATAAGAAAAGTATACAGAATTGAGGGACTGTCGACAATGTTTTATATTGTTCTTGGTTTACAGACGTTACCCGTAAATAAACTGGACCCCTGTTGTTGTGTTTATTTATCGCTGCACTGAGCCTCATGCACTACGATGGAATGGCGGACCAGTTTAAACATGGTAAAGAGATAAACAGCTGATTAAAGTAACCTGTAAGAAAAAATGAGTTAACAATTGTTTATCTTCTTCTTCCATATACTGCCCACATTCAACATGATGAATATTCTGGCAAGTTTATATTAGAGACGAGAATGTCTCGTGTTTTGTTCTGCTCAGAAAAGCAGGAACCTTGGAGTTTATGGTTAGATTGTAATTCTTTCTTGAATCAAAACTGGGTAAATTTGATATAGGAAACAAACACTCCCACACTCCCCCTTTTTAAAAAATAACTCGAGAACCACACATCGGCCATCGCGCTCGCTGCACAAAGTAACAATAGTCAATAAGAAATAATTATTGTTACTTTCAAGAATCATTAATTGTCAAAACGTACCCCCACCCCCGGACATCAAAGGAAGTTAAATGTATTGTTGTCCCAAATTAGTTCAAATTATTATCATAATGACGTCTTGAAACCCTATTTTATGTGGTTTTTTTTTGCTTTGAAGTATTCCTACTGCAGAAAAATAACCATTACATAACCTTTTAAGAAGTCATAATTATTTGAACTACCCCTGAATATATTGCAGACAGGCTCTGATCTAAAAAATGTTTTAAGAGCAATCTTTGAAATGATTTTTTAGGTAATTTAATTATTATGTAATTAATATTAACATAGTTATAAACTTTCAAATTTATTAACCAATATGACCAACTCCTATGCTCTTTCCCAGAAATGTCACAATATCATTATATTACAGTAAAATCCGATAGTTTGATGACATTTGTCATTGTTTATGCCTATTGACCTCAGGTCAGCCTAAACTGTAATTTATTCATTAATAATAACCTAAGACATTAACCACCTGCAATGTGATTGCATCAAAATGACACCTAAGGCATATCATACTAATTGTGCAGGATGTGCCACCAAAATAAATACTGTCTTGTAAAATTAGATGATGATAGTTATAGCTACATGTAGTAATTATAATAACTGATGATAGATTTAAATCTGAGTAAAAGGTTGATTTATATGTGCTCATTCATGTTTTGATTAAAATATAAATTGAATCTTTTCTTTTATAATATTAAGATATTAAAATCACAATTATTTATTTGTAAACTAAAAATATGTTTTATCCTTTTAAGACAATGTAAGAACATGACTGTACACAAACATTATACACAAATAATTTTAATAATTCTGTCATGTTTTTTTTTGTAGCCCCAGAATGGTCAGAACAGTGGCAAAAGACTAATCCAGATTACCAAAAAATAGAAGTTGTTCAGCTACCATTCATGCCATAAGCATGATAAGAAAAATTTTGCAGTTTCCAGAATTTGAGGTAGAGTATAGTCAGGAATAGTTTAAATATGCAGATGTTTAGTTTGCAATAAACAAGTATGTCCTTGATAGAAAAGTAGAGGAAACAAAAGAGTATGAAAATAGTTGAAAAAAGTAATCAATATTACCTAGTCATAAATAATGTAAATAGAAAAGAGAAAGGCAATGGTTACGACTTGGTTTTATTAATAGCGTTATCATTTGTCCATAATTTGGAATGAATCTTGACATTTTCATGTCACAATTTGATCTAAATGCATCCTCCTTTATAAAATAATATTATTTTCAGTCTACTGAAACATGTATTTTTTTTGTTATTAAAAAGAACAATGAAACAATCGTTGAACAATTTTACCTAGCCTGTAAAGCTGATAGCTTGTTGATTTATAAAATTGATTAACTCATGGGTTAACAGGTAGTAAAATTTTATACTACAATCCTGGTACCTGATACAGCCTTCAAAATCTGAAGGTTAGTTTCAACCCAGTCCTGATAAATTTATCAATGAAAACTAATCAACAGACCAAATAAAAATTCACTGGGTAAAATGATAATATTTTTAGTAATAATACAATATTCATTCATACCATTTGTTGCGTAAAATAGTTTTGTTACTTATCATACATATATGATTTACTCCTAATACTCTAACAGTATTGTATGGTAACCACCGATGGTAAGTATGGACAAATACTGTATATAGAGTGTGTATAGGAGTACTGTATCGTATGGTAACCATCGACGGTAGGTATGGACAAATACTGTATATAGACTGTGTATAGGAGTACTGTATTGTATGGTAACCACCGACGGTAAGTATGGACAAATACTGTATATAGACTGTGTAAAGGAGTACTGTATTGTAGGGTAACCACCGACGGTAGGTATGGACAAATACTGTATATAGACTGTATAGAGTCTTGTATTTTATGTTAACCACTGACGGTAGGTATGGACAAATACTTATATAGACTGTGTATACGAGTACTGTATTGTATGGTAACCACCGACAGTAGGTATGGATAAATACTGTATTTAGACTGTGTATAGGAGAACTGTATTGTATGGTAACCATCGACAGTAAGCATGGACGAATACTGTATATAGAATGTGTATAGTACTGTATTGTATGGTAACCACCGACGGTAGGTATGGACAAATACTGTATATAGACTGTGTATAGAAGTACTGTATTGTATGGTAACCACCAACGGTAGGTATGGACAAATACTGTATATAGACTGTGTGTAGGAGTAATGTATTTTATGGTAACCACCGACTGTAGGTATGGACAAATACTGTATATAGACTGTGTATAGGAGTACTGTATTGTATGGTAACCACCGACAGTAAGTATGGACAAATACTGTATATAGACTGTGTAAAGGAGTACTGTATTGTATGGTAACCACCGATGGTAGGTATAGACAAGTACTGTATATAGACTGTGTATAGGAGCACTGTATTGTATGGTAACCACCGACAGTAAGTATGGACAAATACTGTATATAGACTGTGTAAAGGAGTACTGTATTGTATGGTAACCACCGACAGTAAGTATGGACAAATACTGTATATAGACTGTGTATAGGAGTACTGTATTGTATGGTAACCACCGACGGTAGGTAAAGACAAATACTGTTGATATACGGTATATAGGAGTACTATATAGTATGTTAACCACCGACGGTAGGTATAGACAAATACTGTTGATAGATAGTACATATGAATACTATATTGTATGTTAACCACTGATGGTAGGTATAGACATATACTGCTGATAGACTGTGTAATGGAGCACTGTATTGTATGTTAACCACCGACGGTAGGTATAGACAAATACTGTTGATATACGGTATGTAGGAGTACTATATTGTATGTTAACTACCGACGATAGGTATAACCATATACTGTTGATAGACGGTATATAAGAGTACTATATGGTATGTTTACCACCGATGGTAGGTATAGAAAAATACTGTTGATAGACTGTGTAATGGAGCACTGTATTGTATGTTAACCACCAACGGTAGGTATAGACAAATACTATTGATATACGGTATGTAGGAGTACTATATTGTATGTTAACCACCGACGGTAGGTATAGAAAAATACTGTTGATAGATAGTGTAAATGAGTACTATATTGTATGTTAACCACCGACGGTAGGTATAGACATATACTGCTGATAGAATGTGTAATGGAGTACTGTATTGTATGATAACCACCGACGGTAGGTATGGACAAATACTGTATATATAGACTATGTATTGGAGTACTGTATTGTATGGTAACCACCAACGGTAGGTATGGACAAATACTGTATATAGACTGTGTATAGGAGTACTGTATTGTATGGTAACCACTGACGGTAAATATGGACAAATACTGTATATAGACTGTGTATAGGAGTACTGTATTGTATGTTAACCACCGACGGTAGGTATGGACAAATACTGTATATAGACTGTATAGAGTCTTGTATTTTATGTTAACCACTGATGGTAGGTATGGACAAATACTTATATAGACTGTGTATACGAGTACTGTATTGTATGGTAACCACCGACAGTAGGTATGGATAAATACTGTATTTAGACTGTGTATAGGAGAACTGTATTGTATGGTAACCATCGACAGTAAGCATGGACAAATACTGTATATAGAATGTGTATATTACTGTATTGTATGGTAACCACCGACGGTAGGTATGGACAAATACTGTATATAGACTGTGTATAGAAGTACTGTATTGTATGGTAACCACCAACGGTAGGTATGGACAAATACTGTATATAGACTGTGTGTAGGAGTAATGTATTTTATGGTAACCACCGACTGTAGGTATGGACAAATACTGTATATAGACTGTGTATAGGAGTACTGTATTGTATGGTAACCACCGACAGTAAGTATGGACAAATACTGTATATAGACTGTGTAAAGGAGTACTGTATTGTATGGTAACCACCGATGGTAGGTATAGACAAGTACTGTATATAGACTGTGTATAGGAGCACTGTATTGTATGGTAACCACCGACAGTAAGTATGGACAAATACTGTATATAGACTGTGTAAAGGAGTACTGTATTGTATGGTAACCACCGACGGTAAGTATGGACAAATACTGTATATAGACTGTGTATAGGAGTACTATATTGTATGGTAACCACCGACGGTAAGTATGGACAAATACTGTATATAGACTGTGTATAGGAGTACTGTATTGTATGGTAACCACCGACGGTAGGTATAGACAAATACTGTTGATATACGGTATATAGGAGTACTATATTGTATGTTAACCACCGACGGTAGGTATAGACAAATACTGTTGATAGATAGTACATATGAATACTATATTGTATGTTAACCACCGACGGTAGGTATTGACATATACTGCTGATAGACTGTGTAATGGAGCACTGTATTGTATGTCAACCACCAACGGTAGGTATAGACAAATACTGTTGATATACGGTATGTAGGAGTACTATATTGTATGTTAACTACCGATGATAGGTATAACCATATACTGTTGATAGACGGTATATAAGAGTACTATATGGTATGTTTACCACCGATGGTAGGTATGGACAAATATTGTATATAGACTGTGTATAGGAGTACTGTCTTGTATGGTAACCACCGACGGTAAGTATAGACAAATACTGTATATAGACTGTGTATAGGAGTACTATATTGTATGGTAACTACCGACGATAGGTATAGACATATACTGTTGATAGACGGTATATAAGAGTACTATATGGTAGGTTTACCACCGATGGTAGGTATAGAAAAATACTGTTGATAGACTGTGTAATGGAGCACTGTATTGTATGTTAACCACCAACGGTAAGTATAGACAAATACTATTGATATACGGTATATAGGAGTACTATATTGTATGTTAACCACCGACGATAGGTATAGAAAAATACTGTTGATAGATAGTGCAAATGAGTACTATATTGTATGTTAACCACCGACGGTAGGTATAGACATATACTGCTGATAGACTGTGTAATGGAGCACTGTATTGTATGTTAACCACCGACGGTAGGTATGGACAAATACTGTATATAGACTGTGTAAAGGAGTACTATATTGTATGGTAACCACCGACGGTAAGTATGGACAAATACTGTATATAGACTGTGTATAGGAGTACTGTATTGTATGGTAACCACCGACGGTAGGTATAGACAAATACTGTTGATATACGGTATGTAGGAGTACTATATTGTATGTTAACTACCGATGATAGGTATAACCATATACTGTTGATAGACGGTATATAAGAGTACTATATGGTATGTTTACCACCGATGGTAGGTATGGACAAATATTGTATATAGACTGTGTATAGGAGTACTGTCTTGTATGGTAACCACCGACGGTAAGTATAGACAAATACTGTATATAGACTGTGTATAGGAGTACTGTATTGTATGGTAACCACTGACGGTAAATATGGACAAATACTGTATATAGACTGTGTATAGGAGTACTGTATTGTATGTTAACCACCGACGGTAGGTATGGACAAATACTGTATATAGACTGTATAGAGTCTTGTATTTTATGTTAACCACTGACGGTAGGTATGGACAAATACTTATATAGACTGTGTATACGAGTACTGTATTGTATGGTAACCACCGACAGTAGGTATGGATAAATACTGTATTTAGACTGTGTATAGGAGAACTGTATTGTATGGTAACCATCGACAGTAAGCATGGACAAATACTGTATATAGAATGTGTATATTACTGTATTGTATGGTAACCACCGACGGTAGGTATGGACAAATACTGTATATAGACTGTGTATAGAAGTACTGTATTGTATGGTAACCACCAACGGTAGGTATGGACAAATACTGTATATAGACTGTGTGTAGGAGTAATGTATTTTATGGTAACCACCGACTGTAGGTATGGACAAATACTGTATATAGACTGTGTATAGGAGTACTGTATTGTATGGTAACCACCGACAGTAAGTATGGACAATACTGTATATAGACTGTGTAAAGGAGTACTGTATTGTATGGTAACCACCGATGGTAGGTATAGACAAGTACTGTATATAGACTGTGTATAGGAGCACTGTATTGTATGGTAACCACCGACAGTAAGTATGGACAAATACTGTATATAGACTGTGTAAAGGAGTACTGTATTGTATGGTAACCACCGACGGTAAGTATGGACAAATACTGTATATAGACTGTGTATAGGAGTACTATATTGTATGGTAACCACCGACGGTAAGTATGGACAAATACTGTATATAGACTGTGTATAGGAGTACTGTATTGTATGGTAACCACCGACGATAGGTATAGACAAATACTGTTGATATACGGTATATAGGAGTACTATATTGTATGTTAACCACCGACGGTAGGTATAGACAAATACTGTTGATAGATAGTACATATGAATACTATATTGTATGTTAACCACCGACGGTAGGTATTGACATATACTGCTGATAGACTGTGTAATGGAGCACTGTATTGTATGTCAACCACCAACGGTAGGTATAGACAAATACTGTTGATATACGGTATGTAGGAGTACTATATTGTATGTTAACTACCGATCATAGGTATAACCATATACTGTTGATAGACGGTATATAAGAGTACTATATGGTATGTTTACCACCGATGGTAGGTATGGACAAATATTGTATATAGACTGTGTATAGGAGTACTGTCTTGTATGGTAACCACCGACGGTAAGTATAGACAAATACTGTATATAGACTGTGTATAGGAGTACTATATTGTATGGTAACTACCGACGATAGGTATAGACATATACTGTTGATAGACGGTATATAAGAGTACTATATGGTATGTTTACCACCGATGGTAGGTATAGAAAAATACTGTTGATAGACTGTGTAATGGAGCACTGTATTGTATGTTAACCACCAACGGTAAGTATAGACAAATACTATTGATATACGGTATATAGGAGTACTATATTGTATGTTAACCACCGACGATAGGTATAGAAAAATACTGTTGATAGATAGTGCAAATGAGTACTATATTGTATGTTAACCACCGACGGTAGGTATAGACATATACTGCTGATAGACTGTGTAATGGAGCACTGTATTGTATGTTAACCACCGACGGTAGGTATGGACAAATACTGTATATAGACTGTGTATAGGAGTACTGTATTGTATGGTAACCACCGACGGTTAGTATGGACAAATACTGTATATAGACTGTGTATATCAGTCTTGTATTTTATGTTGACCACCGACGGTAGGTATGGACAAATACTGTATATAGACTGTGTATAGGAGTCTTGTATTGTATGGTAACCACCGACGGTAGGTATGGATAAATACTGTTGATAGATAGTGCAAATGAGTACTATATTGTATGTTAACCACCGACGGTAGGTATAGACATATACTGCTGATAGACTGTCTATTGGAGTATTGTATTGTATGGTAACCACCGACGGTAGGTATGGACAAATACTGTATATAGACTGTGTATAGGAGTACTGTATTGTATGGTAACCACCGACGGTTAGTATGGACAAATACTGTATATAGACTGTATATATGAGTCTTGTATTTTATGTTGACCACCGACGGTAGGTATGGACAAATACTGTATATAGACTGTGTATAGGAGTACTGTATTGTATGGTAACCACCGACAGTAAGTATGGACAAATACTTTATATAGACTGTGTAAAAGAGTACTGTATTGTATGGTAACCACTGACGGTAGGTATGGACAAATACTGTATATAGACTGTGTATAGGAGTCTTGTATTGTATGGTAACCACCGACGGTAGGTATGGATATATACTGTTGATAGATAGTGCAAATGAGTACTATATTGTATGTTAACCACCGACGGTAGGTATAGACATATACTGCTGATAGACTGTCTATTGGAGTATTGTATTGTATGGTAACCACCGACGGTAGGTATGGACAAATACTGTATATAGACTGTGTATAGGAGTACTGTATTGTATGGTAACCACCGACGGTTAGTATGGACAAATACTGTATATAGACTGTATATATGAGTCTTGTATTTTATTTTGACCACCGACGGTAGGTATGGACAAATACTGTATATAGACTGTGTATAGGAGTACTGTATTGTATGGTAACCACCGACAGTAAGTATGGACAAATACTTTATATAGACTGTGTAAAAGAGTACTGTATTGTATGGTAACCACTGACGGTAGGTATGGACAAATACTGTATATAGACTGTGTATAGGAGTCTTGTATTGTATGGTAACCACCGACGGTAGGTATGGATAAATACTGTATATAGACTGTGTATAGGAGTACTGTATTGTATGGTAACCACCGACAGTAGGTATGGATAAATACTGTATATAGACTGTGTATAGGAGAACTGTATTGTATGGTAACCATCGACAGTAAGCATGGACAAATACTGTATATAGACTGTGTATAGGAGTACTGTATTGTATGTTAACCACCGACGGTAGGTATGGACAAATACTGTATATAGACTTTGTATAGGAGTACTTTATTGTATGGTAACCACCGACGGTAGGTATAGACAAATACTTTGTGTAGAATTTATTTATTTAAATGAAAAGTGTTGCACATAAATTGTATTTTTGCATTGAAATTTTATGTAATCTGTACATTTCGTTTTTTTCCCTTCAAATGGTGTAATGGTCCTATTTGTTCTTAAATGGCAAATAAAACTTACTGTTCTTGGCTTTTATGTTTGATATATTTTTGAATATTCTTCACGTGGAGATCTGATCTTGTCTATTGAATTTGCTCATTTTCCTTATTACATGTATGTTAATTGCAGCAACTGAATTGGACTTATTTATTAAAAGTGATAATATTTCTGTTGTAGGTAATCAAGATTTAGTGTTTCCATACAAGTGTCAAAGATTGAACGACAAAAACATCTAAAACTTTACAGGACAGAGTAGACTTTTTCACTGTGCTTCATTTTGTCTTTATGTCTAAATAATGATACATTTTAAAAAACCAATAAAATATGGAATAAAAAAGATTGTTATCTTATAAAATGGAGTGAAGAAATAAGGGGTGATTGAAAACATAAGAATATATTGCTATCATATATGCAGATCAGCAGTACATGCATGTGCTATAGATGTACATAAATAAGGGGCCAATAAATTCAAGTTGCCTGTTAAAAAAGACTTTATTAATGTTATGCAAGATACCATCAAATATCACTAGGTGTTAATCAAATAATATTGTAAATAAGAGGGTTGTCCAAAATATTTCCAACAGTTGTTTGATAAACACTACCTTAATCAAATTACACTGTTAAAAAGCAGTTTAGGTCCGTCTTCAGAAGCAAATATAATTTAGAAAAGTGCAAGCTGTTGATAAAAACTACAAATATCAGCCTTATTGCAAAGGGAACTGCCAGTCATAAGAGAGGGGCGAAAGATGCCAGAGGGACAGTCAAACTCAAAGATAAAAAATAAACTGACAACGCCATGGCTATCAAAGAAAAAGACAAACAGACAAATAATAGTACACAAGACACAACATAGAAAACTAAAGACTAAGCAACACGAAAATGTGGGTGGAGATTACCATTTAGCACAAATGAGTTTCGGGACAAAAGAAAGTATTTTCGGCACAAACCGATTATACCCTTTCAAAAACTATGTGTAGTCCCTTTTATAAAAGTGGCAGATGTTTTTTTTTTTGCCTATTTATACATGAGTATCTATGACAACTAACTGCTGCTCCTAGTAAAGTAAGTCTTTGGTTTTTGAAAGATTAGATCTGTTGTTACAATTCTTTTCTAAGGCACCGGCCTCATAAACAGGAAGTAGGCAGATTAGTAGCAGTACTAATTATACAATACTGTAAAAATAAGGAGATGTGATATGATTGCCAATGAGACACCTATCCACTCAAGTTCAAATGAAGTGGATGTAAGCAGTTATATGCAACCATACAGCCTTCAACAATGAGCAAAAACATACCATATAGAACCTTGTAAAGGCTAGTATGATTTACATCTGCAATAATCACTGAACAATCAGAGACAAGTTTGGGCCTAAATTAGTATGTCCTAACTCCCAATCAAATTGATCGAAGAGAGAGGCGAAAGATAACAAAGGCTCATTCAAACTCATAACTCAATAATAAACTGACAAAACCACGGCAAAAAAGAAAAAGATTAAAAGTCAATCAACAGTATGCAAAACACAACAAAGAACACTAAAGACTGAGCAAAACGAACTTCACCAAAAACTGGTGTGACCAATTGACTAATTGATCTCAGCCTTACATTATTTAGCAGACCCTTTATTATACCAAACCAAACAAAGTTCCTAAGGGTACAATGTTTTTGACCCATCAGTCTGTCTTTCCTGTTCTCGTTATCTCAACTCCTCTGAAACCACATAACAGAATTTATAAATCTTTGTAGATAATATCGACAGGAAATTATGAAATTATCGATTCATTGATTTTCTATTAGTTATGAGAAATTTGGCCTTAATATACTCCTACAACAGTTTGTCATCACAACTTTCTGAAAGTACACAACAGAGTTTCATGAATTTTTTTAAATAGTTAGGACATGCTACGTCGATGTGCATATCGACAGAAAATTATGATTAAATTTTTATGCCCTACCCACGATAGTAGATGGGCATTACGTTTTCCGGTCTATGCTACCTCCGCTCGTTCGCCCGTCTGTCCTGCATCAGGTTAAATTATTTGGTCAAGGTAATTTTTGATGAAGTTGAAGTCCAATCAACTTGAAACTTAGTACATATGTTTCCTATGATATGTTCTTTCTAATTTTAATGCCAAATTAGAGTTTTTACCCCAATGTCACGGTCAACTGAACATAAAAAATGATAGTGCGAGTGGGGAAACGTGTACTGTGGACACATTCTTGTTTTTGTCGAGCCTGCGACATTCGTCGCAGAAATCTCGACATAATGATAGTGATCCGGCTGCGGCGGCGGCGGCGTTAGTTCACCTCTTAAAAGCTTTATATCTTAGAAGGTGGAGGACCTGAATGATACATACTTTGTATATAGATGCCTTAGGTTAGGAAGTTTCCGTCTGTCACATGTTCATTGTCCTTGACCTCATTTTCATGGTTCAGTGACAACTTGAAAAAAAGTTAAGATTTTTTTGTAATGTTAATTTCTCTCTTTTTATGATTAATTGGGCAACTATATTTAGTATGTGCGTACCTTGCAAGGTCCTCATGCCCATCAAACAGTTTTCACTGGACCTCGATATCATTTCATGGATCAGTGAAAAAGGTTAAGTTTTGGTTGTCAAGTCTATATTTCAGATACTTTAAGCAGTAGGTCTAGTATTTTTGGTGTATGGAAGGATTGTCAGGTGTACATGTCCAACTGGCAGGTTTCATCTGAGCTTGACCTCATTTTCATGGTTCAGTGGTTATAGTTAAGTTTTTGTGTTTTGGTCTGTTTTTGTTATACTGTATGCAATATGTCTACATATTTCATGTATGGAATGATTGTAAGGTGTACATTTCCAACTGACAGGTATCATCTGACCTTGACCCCATTTCCTTGGTTCAGTGATCAAAGTTAAGTTTTTGAGTATTGTTCTTTTTTCTAATATTATATGCAATAGTTCAACTATATTTGGTGTATGGAAATATCTTATGATGTACATGTCAGTCTCGCAAGTTTTATTTGACCTTGACCTCATTTTAACGGTTCATTGCTCAGTGTTAAGTTTTTGTGTTTTGGTCTGTTTTGGTTACTTAAACTATAAGCAATAGGTCAACTATATTTGTTGTATGGAAGAATTGTAAGCTGTACATGTCTGCCTGGCATGGTTCATCTGACGATGACTTCATTTTGATGGTTCATTTGTCAATGTTTAGTTTTCTTGGTTTGGTCTGTTTCTTAGAAAATACAAGAAATAGGTCAACTATATTTAGTGTATTGAATGATTGTAAGGTGTATATGTATTTCTCGTTTTGGACATATGACCTTGACCTCATTTTCTTGGACATGATCCAATAAAATGAGGTCAAGGTCAAGGTCATATGATCCGCCACTGTCATGTTAAGTTTATAGTTGTAGTAAAGCTTTATATTTAGAACTATTAACATACAATCAATAGTAAGTAAAGAAGGCGAGACTTTTCAGCGTGCATGTGCACTCTTGTTTGGAATTAGGAATTATGCCTTTGAACTTTGTGCATATCCACAAGAAATTTGTATCAGTTGGCGTTTGAAGGAGTTATGCGTCTTTGAACGTAATAATCTGTTGAGATTTTGCTTGCTAAGTGACAATGTCGGGCTGTGGGGTATGTGAGCCTGCTCACAAAGGTTCTTTAATTAGACACAATCAATGCATTGTCTGTGCTTCCAAGATACAGTCTGTATGCATTGTCTTTTGTTGTAAGTTAAATTAAGTTTATGTATTGTTCGTGGTTCTTAGTCTATTACATTGTTTATATGCTTTGACTATGATTCTAAGATACAGTTTCTGTTGTCGGTATATCTTAGATTCATATACTGTCTATGGATCAGATATAAAGTATGTATGCATTGTAAGTTGTTTTAAGTTGAAGATACAGTCTGTATGTTTTGCTTGTTACTGCAAGATAAAGTGTGTGCATTGCCTGCTGTTCTGAATACAGTCTGTATGCATTTTTTGTATCCTTTGTCTATGGGTCTAATTTTTACATACAATCTGTATACATACTGTATCTCTGACTCATATACAGTGTCAAAATAACCTCTGGTTCTAAGATGCATTCTGTATGATTGCCTGAATGCTTAGTATATACTGGTTTCGATATATGGTCTGTATGTATTGTATGGATCTTATATATATATTATCTATACGTATATATTTTCTGTATACGTATTTTCCATGTTTAGATGATGCAATGAAAATAAGAAGATATGTGGTATGATTGCCAATGAGAAAACTATCCACCTAAGACAAACGAACGTGAATCAACAATGAGTAATACATGTACTAATATAGACTGTAGTACTCCTATGCAATGATGTAGAATGTTATTAAAACCCATTCCTGACTAGATGTGACGAAAAACGAAAACTAACAGCCCGAGTAATGCTGAAACAATAAACGTAAAACCAATATCAAAGACAGCAACCAACAGCAACCACTGAATTAAAGACTACTTACTGACTTGGGAAAGGTACACACATAATGTGGCGGGTACAACGTTTCCATGATCACGAAAAGCATACCAACAGTCGATAATGTGTGTGTGGCTAAAAAAGGAAACAACAGATGAAAGTATAATGTAACCCATCCTCAGGGGTTAACATGCAATGCAAAACTTGTATAAACAGTCGATATAGAGTATACTTGTATGTCCATACCTACCGTCAGTGGTTACCATATATTACAGAATTTATATCTACAGTACATATACAGTATATAGAGTATAACGTTATGCCCATACCAACCCTCAGTAGTTATCAAATATATTACAGTACTTGTATCTGCAGTCTATATAGAGTATACCGTTATGTCCATACCAACCCTCAGTGGTTACCATATTTATTACTGTACTTGTATCTACAGTCTATATAGAGTATACCGTTATGCCCATACCAACCCTCAGTAGTTACCAAATATATAACAGTTCTTGTATCCACAGTCTATTTAAAGTATACCGTTATAACCGTACCTACTCTCAGTGGTTACCATATATTACAGTACTTGTATCTTCAGTCTCTATAGAGTTTACCGTCATATCCAAACACCATCTGTGGTAACCATATAATATAGTACTCCTATGCACTGTCTATTAACAGCATTTATTCATACCTACCGTCGGTGGTTAACATACAATATAGTACTCCTATATACCGTATATCAACAGTATTTGTCTATACCTACCGTCGGTGGTTAACATACAATACAGTGCTCCATTACACAGTCTATCAACAGTATTTTTCTATACCTACCGTCGGTGGTTAACATACCATATAGTACTCTTATATACCGTCTATCAACAGTATAATTTTATGTCTATACCTACCGTCGGTGGTTAACATACAATATAGTACTCATATGCACTATCTATCAACAGTATTTTTCTATACCTA